GGGGCCATGATCTGAACAATTTAAAACCTACACTACCTAAGAAAGCTTTCACCTAATTTTCATCTTTTCTAGTCCAGTATTTCTTGAGAAGAAGATATTTAAAATTTTTCCTATATATTTCAATGTAAAGTTTTGATTCCCTATTGTGGCCCTACCCTACCCCCAGGGGACATGTTTTGAACAATTTACAATCTACACTACCTTGATCAGGAAGCTTTCAACTAAATTTCATCTTTACTAGTCCAGTGGTCTTGAGAAGAAGATTTTTAAAGATGTTTTTCCTACAATATTTTCAATGTAAAACATCCATTCCCTATTGTGGCCCCACCCTACTCCCGGGGACCATGATCTAAACAATTTATAATCTAATATTCCTTAGGAAGCATTTATATGAGTATCAGCTTTTCTGCCACAGTGGTTCTTGAGAAGAAGATTTTTCCTATATATTTCATTGTAAAATTTTCATCCCCTAATTTGTGGCCCCATCAAGCTCGTGGGGGCAAGATTTGAATAATTTACAATCTACACTACCTCAGGAAGCTTACATATAAGTTTCAGCTTTTCTGGCTCATTGCTTCTTGAAAGAATATGTTTCAATGGCCCCACCCTATTTTTGCATTTCTTGATTATCTCCCCTTGGAAGGAAACTTGGCCCTTCATTTTAAAATTTAGAATCCCCTTAACCCAGGAATGCTTTGTACCAACTTTGCTTAATATTGGCCCAGTGCTTTTTGAGAAGAAGTTGAAAATATGTGAAAAGTTTACAGATGGACGGACAGACACTGGACAATATGTGATCTAACTTGAACTTTCAGATCAGGTGAGCTAAAACTGGAAAAAGGGTGGGAAGGGGGGGGTGTTAAGTCATACATGCACCTTGTCCATTAGCTTTCACGAAAATTAAAAATATATGTACATGTATTTTTAAAAAAATCAATGTGAGAAGCTACATCAGGGTTTGAAATTAACAGTCTCCCACTCGCAATTTGCGACTAATGTTCCATATGGGCGACTTAAAATTATGTTCAAGTTGCCCACATGGCGATTAGAAAATTTACGATAATAAATATTTGTTTTTCAATTTTGTCCGAATGTTTTGTATTTTTCTCTTGAAAAATTTCATAATCAGTAAAGTGCTTTATGATTACCCATAAGAAGTACTTATACATAAAGCGTCTAAGTGATTGTGTCGGGCACAATGTGGCATCGACGGGTCAATAAGCCCAAGAAACCATAGAGTTCTGTTGTTATTTGTGAACGAAAACGTGCCATGTGCTCTATATATGATATTGAATGATCATATCAATCTTCATAAACAGAGGAGTTCCACTTCAAATTTAGATAAGTTGTGCATAATGTTACAATGGATAGAAAAGAAACACAAAACACATGATAAAAAAGAAAAGAAAAATGGGGTTATTGTTTTTATATTCATTAGAAGGTGTGATAATCTGTGGGCGAATAAATTTTGATGTGGGCCCCAGAATTGAGGTTCAGTATCCCACATGGCTATCAAGGATTACGAGTTAGTTTAAAACCCTGTACATGTAAAAATTAGTTAAAATTAAATGGTAGTAATTAAAATTGCTAGGTCATTAACAATCAAGATAATTGATATAAATGTTTAATTCACTAACCAATAATGAGATCCAAGTTCAAAGAGCCATATTTCCAATGGTTGATTCTTTGTCATCAAAACTCCTAAAATCCGTCTTCATCTTAACTCGCACATCTTCCTTGAATTTTTGAGAATCATGATTTTTGTTAATTTTGTCAGTTCAACAGTATTTCCTGACTTAATGGAAGTCTGAAAAAAGTCCTGAGGATTACACTCTACTATTCTTTTTTTCCACACTCCCATGGAATTTATTCTGATTTGTCATATTTGGTTTCTCACAATCCTTAAATTTTTCTATTGTGGCTATACATGCTTCCTTTAAACTTGGTTGATATCATGTGTTCTATGATCCACCACAAGCTGTAGAACAGACGTCCTTCTTCTTACAGGGTTTGTTGATAAGAAATGTTCATAACTAAAAAGATAAAGTGATTCCCATCTATTAGAATGTTGCAGACCTTTAATGAAATATCAAGATTACAAACAGTATTTAAGCTCAAAGGTGCATTGAAACATTACTAATTGTGAGCATTGCAAACATAGATCTCTAAAACATCAGAGGTGGGATGAGTTGTCATGGAGGAATAAGCATCCCCTGTCAACTAGTTACACCTGCTGTGCGCTCCTTGTCATAATAGGGTGAAATGGATAAATCTGTAGACAATTCAGTATGAAAATAATGGCCTAACAATTTCTGTATGAAAAACATCGATCAGTAAACATTTGACTTATCTGTACAGTAGACTGTATTTGTTAACAAGGTCATTGTATCAAACACAGAATTTGCAAAATGTTCAACCTGTATCATCAACTTATTTGCCAATAGCTTGCCTCATTTTAGTAATTGTTTGTACTAGGTACACATGCTCTTGTCCTTTGAATCAAATGGGAGTCATAAACTCCATATGAAGGTGATAATGCTACATAAGTAAGGGAAGTTAATAATAGAAAAATTAAAGTTACGTGTTTATCATAAAATTTAATTGTTACCTTGCCATTAATGTCTTTGTCTAGTAAATTATTCAAATATGAAACAGATGTATATGCCTCTGTGGTGTCTTTAATTTTGAGTTAAAAAACATAATTACATGTGAATGAAAAAAAAATTAAATATAATGAATAGTGATCAATCTCAAAAAATTTATAAACATTACAAATCTGTGAAGTGCCTGGCAAAAGCAAGGACCCCCTGGAAATCCCAGAGGTGGGATCAGGTGTCTAGGAGGAGTAAGCATCCTCTGTTGACCGGTTACACCTGAATAAGTTAATGTAGGAATAAAAATGAATAATTACTGTCCATTGATAAAGCATCATCAATATGTCATTATACATGATATATCTAATCATGTACCGTTAGTATATATAGGACAGGAAATACAAAATATAGTTATTTATAAAACAGTGTACAGTGCTACCTCGGTATATTGCCAGCTTTTGTCCAAGGCAGATTTTGGCATTATAGCGAGGGCGGCAATATAACGAATTCTGCCATAAATTACAATTCAGTGGGTAATCAAAGCAAAATAAATAGTTTACGTAATTCATTTCAGTTACAGTCTGTTAATGTCATGCTGTCATACGTGCACATAAGTATAAGGGAAGCTCTCGTTTCTTTTTGAAAAAGAAGTCATTATTTTTTTGGTTTACAATATTTTTACTGAAAAGAAACAAAATGTCAGAATATTGAGCACCTGTCAATTCCCTGCTCTTTCGCCATGCTCTAAGAATTTAATAACCTGATAACAAAGATGTCAGTAGCCGTTATAGCCTCTCGGTATTAAAAAAGTTTTGAGAATTATTATTAATCTCATCTGAATCGAAAGTAGATTTTTTTCACCGTCTCAAGAATTTCTGAATCAGTTAAAAAGTTCGGTTGGTAAAGTGTCATGACGAATGGCAAGTCACGCGTCAGAGTACGTCAACCTGTTGTAATAAACATGCATTCTTATGTTTGCTGGTACCTGTGTACTTCTCTTCCGATTCTGTTTTGATATTTATCAATCAACCCAATCTGTGCCCAACAATTTATGAAAAATTCAGGGGTAACAGAATCCTTAATATTTTCACGTGCGGAATTATAGTAGTTTAAAAATAGAGGTGGGATTTCCTTTTGATCAATAGAATGGCTTCTTAATCTAAGGGGACACAAATGAATATTTGCATTTATTATGGTTTGGTGCATTATCCATGATAAGCAATAATCGGCGATTTGCAATCAAATAGATCGAATGTTGATCAATCAATTTTTTTTTCTCGTAATCCAAATTTGTACGCTTTCTCTTGCCTGACGTTTCCATTACTGTGATGAAATAATTCTTCTAACTTATAAAAACACGCCAAAGACATTGCTAATTTTGAGTTTTATTCACCAATTATTTTTAATTTAGCTGAATTCCTTGTCCAGCCCGTTCCGCTTCACCGTAACCACTGTCAAAGTACGGGTGTGTTGTCCAAATTACCGACCCGCTCTAGGTAATTGGCATTGTTCTCGAGGGTTTTCCTTATATAATTTGACCTTTTGTTCCCAAAACCAGTGGCGGATGGCAATAAGCGGGGGTGGCAATATAACGGGTGTATTAACAAAAGGGGGAAATCCGTTCTTCGAGAATTCTTGGCAATAAGCGAGGGTGGCAATATAACAGAGGGCAATATACCAAGGTAGCACTGTATTTTCAACTTCAGCTAGGTCATCATATTAAAAAAAATCATATATTTCCAAACATTGAGGAGTTTCATTGTATTTAATCATGTAAATAATGTATCTGACCTGAGCAACATATGGCATGTGGCTTAATTGTGCTATTACGCATGCATCAAAATTTATTTCTAATTATAGCTTTCCTTAGTGTTCACACGGCCTTAATGCAAAGAAATTTGATGCGTAGTAAATTAATTTGAATTAACTTATTCGCATTAAATTGTCCATGTGAATGTGGTTCAAATTAAATCTGTATTAGCTTACGTTTAATTCGAATTAAACCCTCCTTGTGAAGACGACATTAAATGTACATATCTCATACTGTACACCCTCATCAAAGCTTCACAACCAGATAATACATATTCTTGTCAGCTGTCAAAATCACATTCGGACAAACACCACCAAATGTTTTCCCATAGACTTCCATACAAAGTTGAGCCCCTGTCACTGATACATATATTGAATTTTGGGCAAATGACTTTCTTGCCGTGAAAGTTCGAGATCTTGTAAAACAAAACATGCCAGAAAAAATATACCGTGCCGCGGCACTTTTACTTTCAAATTCCATTTGTTTACAACTAGGTGCGTTCAGCACCAAATGAAAATCTCTAACCAAAGTGCATCCCTCCCTTCAAACTTTTACCTGTAACTCCTATATATCTCAAAGGAACCTAAGTCTTGATATGAGATTTTTATCATCTTTATTTCACTTGTCAAATACATAACTAGTCTTTTCTCTTAATGACCAATCACGTGCCAGGTAGCATTTTCTTCTCCGCACAACTTTGGGTGTCCAAAATGTCTGCGCCCATGTATTTGTTTATGTAGGAGTTTTTCCTATAGAGTTATAGAAAACACTTATAAAAAGTGGTCAATTTAGTACACATATCCATTGGTTATCTCACCTCATGAATATTGGGACTGACAGTTCTAGCTGAAGTACACCACTGGCTGTTACATTTTACACCCCGGTCAATCAGACCTATATCTGTGAAATAGAAAAGATGTCTATAAATTGAAGCATTTTTCCATTTTCCTTTCAAACTTTTGAAATAAAATGATTAATCTAGCATATGTTTTGCTTGTTTTTCTTATTATCTCTCATAATCTCTTAAGATAGATCATGTTAATCAATAAGGGTAGCAGGTACCCGTTATAAATGAAAAATGAAGAAAATCAGCAGGTTTTTGTAAGAAAATGCTGAGTTATGGAAAGAGGAAAAGCTAATGTAGGTAAAATAATCAATGGAAAGAAAGAGAATTATATATCTAGTTTAAATGATAATAAGATTAAAAAAAATTATATCAGCAATGGGTTGCTGGCATCAGAGAATCAAATACATCCCCACTGAAAATTTTGTAAATTCTAAAGGGGGGTGACCTAGATTTTAGCCAATTTTAATGAACATTTCATGTAATTGATGTTAAATATGTATATTCTCATAAAAGGCAAATATATTCATTTGCTTATCATTTCTTATAATTGACATAATTAATAAATTGATTAAATGCCAAGGGCAGATAAATCATGTTGTCTGACTGAATACAGTGCTCAATTGTAAGCAAAATGCTTAAATAACTGCAGTTCTGAGGAAATCTATATTCTTATAATCTTTTAAAAGTTCTAAATAACTTAAATATTAAGAGATTAACTAGATTTTCTAAGAAAACCATACCTTGGAACTGTTAATGAATGCAAAGGGTTCATCCTGAGAGTGTCCATGTGTTGTTCCTTGTAAGAGGGGAGGGTTCATTAATCTCCTCCTTCTTGAGAATGCATTGCTGAAATACATTTTATTTTATTAAAACATACTGATACATGCATGTAGTAGCTTAAATTATAATTGTTTATTATTTACACCATCTTTTGAATTTTTTATAAGCATTTGTTATGTAATAGCTTAAAAATAATCATGTTTAAATAGAATTTACTAAGATAATACTAAAACAAAATGTAAGAGAAATTGAAAAAAAAAATAACTGCAGATAAGCATAACTCTTGTTATTCAAATAAACTACATCTATAAAATGTTCCTTCATTTTCCTAGCATCATTACAGCACAAAATACCCCCCCCCCCTTTTCTACAGAATATCAAGATTGGATATGACAAGGAGGAGGGATATTCAGAAACATATTTCACCATTTTTTCACTTATAATTTTGCACATTTCTTGCATTTTCAATGTATTTTCTGTTAAAAAATATTGTACAGTAATTTAAATTAAATTTCCTACTAGTAACCTCTCAGTTTCACCAAAAGTACAACTTTTATTTCAAGCCAGCACTGATGACATGACTGAAATCTACTTTGCAGCTGGATTAGGCCCCTTATGTAAAAACAAAGTAACCTATTTAGTTAACAACAGTCACATTTTGTTATAAATCATTCAATTAACTCTGATTAACACAAATTTGAAAGATAATTAGTCAATCTATACCAACGTCTGCATTCATAAAATACATGGATTTAAATGAATTTCTCAAACTGCGAGGGGGATATTCACATTTTTTGTGTATTGATGATGCCGATAAATATCAATATTGTATTATTTTCAACATTCACAGTAAATTTCAGCATAAATATTAATTTACAATTATTTACATGTACATTTATTGAAAATATGAGAGCTAGGGGCAAAATTTTGGCATTTTTTCACCATGTTCAGTCCCCATTGGGAGCCTCAGTTTACCCAAACCCTCTAATTTTTATACAAATAGCAAAAACTAACTAAAATATAATCCCAATGCCAAAAAAATAGGAATTGATTGATTTTTTGGCTGTAATCAATGTTTACCTATGAAATACATACCTACTCTATAGGACAAACACCACCAAATGTTTTCCCATAGACTTCCATACAAAGTTGAGCCCCTGTCACTGATACATATATTGAATTTTGGGCAAATGACTTTCTTGCCGTGAAAGTTCGAGATCTTGTAAAACAAAACATGCCAGAAAAAATATACCGTGCCGCGGCACTTTTACTTTCAAATTCCATTTGTTTACAACTAGGTGCGTTCAGCACCAAATGAAAATCTCTAACCAAAGTGCATCCCTCCCTTCAAACTTTTACCTGTAACTCCTATATATCTCAAAGGAACCTAAGTCTTGATATGAGATTTTTATCATCTTTATTTCACTTGTCAAATACATAACTAGTCTTTTCTCTTAATGACCAATCACGTGCCAGGTAGCATTTTCTTCTCCGCACAACTTTGGGTGTCCAAAATGTCTGCGCCCATGTATTTGTTTATGTAGGAGTTTTTCCATTCGCATGATTAAAATGAAAGTGAACGTTAAGTTGAATACCGATCCCGATTAGAATAAAGACAATTAAAGGACTGTTAAGGACCCTCTATACACTAAATCAAAAATGTTTTTAGTCCAAGATAAATAAATTGAACACTTTATTTGCATGTGTTTTCTCACTCAAGTAAACAATGTGTAGAGATTTCTGTTCATCAATACTTTAATGTCTGAGAATATTTTTCTTAGGGTGTAAATATGCCATGTACCCTATGTTGAACATGTTGAAATTCAAGAAAATGAAGTAGATCTGATAAGCTCATTATTTATACCTTTATACAATATGATTTTCTCATTCAATTTTTAAGAATGCTTGTATTAACTAAAATTCAGTAACAGACTGCTAGGTTTTCAATTTATTAAATTTGATTTAGACCCCAGGGCGAATTAGTCTCTATCTCCATAAAAATACCATAAAATCAGAGCTCTTTGGTGTGCAGTATATACTAGAGTGTAATTGATTTGTATGAGAAAACTGAAATTAAAATAATCATGGAGGGTAAAAAATTGAGAAGGGGGGGGGGGGTTACAATCTTTCAGATTTCTTCTAGGTCCATCAAAAAATATATACAGAGAGCTTAATTTATGCAATCTAAGTAATTATAATACACAGATGATAACATTTCTTGCTCATTTGAAATTACATATACATTTGTAATATTCTTGGCACACCGACTTGTTCACTATCAACAAAATGTTTTCCTTTTAAATTAAATTTTAATAATCTGGTTAAGTGGTACATTGTAACAGATACTCTTTATTAACAAACTTCTCTTAACATAATTGATCACTCAGGTTTACAGCGTCTGCCAGTCAATCGATATCAAACATTAATTAATAGAGTCCGGCCTCTAAAAGATTATGAGGCCCCTTATATTTTTTGTTGTACTGTCAAAATGTCTTTTATTGTCTTATTTAGTATTTTTAATACACTTACAAACAACTTGTTCCTTAGACACTAAATAATGATTTAACTTGAGTTTGGTCTGAATTTACTGTGCTTTTCCAGTCACTGCACTTAAAAATACTATTTTTGCATCTACTGTAAGTTTTACTCGCATTAAGGTGTTGATTATATACATGTACTGTAGAAGCACAAATTTTCGTGGGGATAAAATTTTGTTATTTGTTATGTTATCTGAGAAGGTTTTGTAGGCATTAAATATCATTGTTATGAATGTAACCCTACTCATTATATTGAAATGTAAAATTTCATGTGGGATTAACAACGAACAAATGACAAAATAAAGGAATATTTCTGCTTTAAACGCATATATTGTGTGTATATATATACACTGTATAGCCCTGGCCTTGGGGAACTGGAATCTTGCTCCCTCCCTCAATGATATACTTTAACTGTATAATAACATAATTGTATTCTCTGCAGTTGGAAAATCTTTTCATTAATTTTTCTTTTTAAATTCCTCAATGGAAAAAAAATCTCTTCATTTTGAATTTCAGTGGTTGCATTATACCCCAATAAATACATGTATAGTGTGTACCCGTCCTTCTTTGTTTTTTGTATTTTTCTGAAAATAGAAGTGTGTACACCATAAAAGAGAATTTATAGTAGTTCGTATTTGTCTAATATATTAACACATTACATATGGAATGCCCTGATGACAACAATGACCAATGGTGTAGTATTAATTATCTGTCCTGTTTATTATGGAAAATAGCTAAATAATGAAAATTATCAGTATGACTGTCAGTTGCAAACATCTTTTTTTTTAATCCCATTTAAATAATTTTATTTTACTTTTTATCTGGACTACATGTACATGTATCATAAGTTCTTTGTCTTTTAAACTGAACCTTTAATTTTTTTTTATACTGGCACAATTAGCTGATAACATACAGACTTAATTTTAAATTTATTGATCCTCCCAAATATTTGCCGGTCTTGGGCCAACAGACTGTCATTAAGGTAAATAAATATGTAAAACACTGATTCACGACTGTAGTATATTGAAATAATGCAGGAAAACATATACAGATCATGTTGATACACAAACACATCATCATGAACTCCGATCATCAGAACTTCATGTAGTTTTGTTTTTTTCCTGACATGTAGCTTTTCACTATTAAATGAATATTATATAATTGCATTCATACCATAAACTTCTCTCTGCTGTGTTCTGAGAATCCATGAACATTGATAATTTCTGATCCGAAACCAATGAATCTACCTGAAATGTATTATAATATTATGCAGTTTTAAAACATAAATTTCATGATAAATAAATAGGAAAATATATTCTTTAATTCCTGTAACTTAGTAGAAGTCGCATCATTTTCATGAATCATCACAGCTATATATACATATTTCTCTCAAAACTGTCCCAATGCAATAATGAGTGCATAACAATAAAATGACAAGTATCAATCTTTAAATTCACATACTTAGAAAACTTTGTACTTTAAAATTAGGGCATGGCACTGTCTAAATGCATGTAGCATGTCTTTGACATTAATATCAACTTATATAGCTGCACTATACCCTCAGGTTGCCAGGGCTAGAAGACCACGTTGAAGCAGGGACCTATACATGCTTAACAATTATATCTATGTCCCTGGGAGAAGCAAACAGCTACCCCCCCCCCCTTTCATCATTTAAATTATTTCTAATATTTACGCCTCAGTTGTACATGTGTTTTTTTAGTTGACAGCTTAATATGTACACAATATTAACAATGAATTTAGCAGCCCACGTACCTATATATAACCCAGGCAGACTGAACGTTTCCCCGGCCCGTAACACATGTTGTGACCGACTCTACTTTCGTTTTTAATATGAAACCTTCGAACTTGACATGACACATAAACAAGACGCGAAACGCAAGAAAACATTTAAAATTTCTGACAATATATTTTGCTACACATTTCAAAAGATCAACGTTGATTCAATAAAATCGAAATATTAGATGCACGTACATGCAGAAATAGTTTCTCTCCGCGAGTACAACATATGCCAATACGGAATGTGTTTCCCTTCCCAGAGACATAGATATAGAGAAGATTTCTTTATGTTTTCACTAACATTAATAATAATAACTTTTAGTTTAATGGTTTTAACCATTTATACTGCAATCATGCAACGATGCACATTGCAACTTTACAGCATATACATGTATACATATCGTAGGAAAATTATTGAGTAAACAATAATGCCGTAATGTCATAATGGACACATATCTTTACTCATTTATTCATAGGCCATATTTAATACATGTACATAAAATTTATTTATTTACAGATTTTGTACTTACCTTTTACAAAGTTTACTTCGTCCTCATGTACATGACTAAATGTGAAACGGGTACTGTATTATGATGTCATTTACGACGTCATTTGATGTAACGAGCATGCGCACTCGTAATGTGTGTAAGTCTCGCCGAGAAGAAAAAATGATGGATCGGTGGTCATCTTATACACACTCATTACACAGATCTCATGCATCCGGTCAAATTAACACTTCATTTTTTTGAAATGGGATGCATCCAAGGACATTTTCTAGTTGATTTATGACAAAATCCAACTGAACACCACCATTTCGTGTTCATTTGGATTTTTCCGTGTTCATTTAAACGTGTGCCGTCTAAAGCACGTGTCCAATTGACAGGGTTTACAAACACACACACACACACACACACACACATAAATAATATGTTGTCAAACCATAACGCAATCTTGTTTATACTATCGTTAACAAGAGGCCCATGGACCACAACGCTCAGCTGAGTAGCTATGGTCCTCCTGTTCTTCATCAGCAGATTATTTTTCCTATACACTGTATGTTCTTATGTAAAACGTTGATCACATACGAGGGTCATTCAAAAATTACGTAGAATTTTGTCATAACTTGTTTTATTTAACGTCATATTATAACCAACATTGGTAGACATATTTTTACAATGCATCCAAATAATTTGAATGAAAAAATTCAAATATATTATGATAAATATCAAAATTATCTAAATTTTAGGACTGCCAAAATGGGGTCACGGAACACGGTCAAAATTGAGTAATTCACTACAATACAATTTATAATATTTGTAGTCATATCTCTAATGAATGGCGCTTAAACGAAATAAAGATTTAACTTTCCCATTAAGTATTCTTACAGTCCCTGAAACGTTCTCCTTTCCCATTTTTTTTTCCGTTTGCTCACCGTTCGTTCACCGTGCGTTCACCGTTCGATCAGCGTGCGTTCAGCGTGCACTCTCCATTCACAGTTTTGAGTTCACCGTTCACCAACTGCTTGCGTTCACCATTCACAAAGCGTTCAACGTTCGCTCTCCGTTCGCTCATATTGCGTTCACCTTGCGTTCGCCGTTCGTTCAGCGCTCACTTATCGTTTAGCTTTCATTGTCATTCGGAACTCCCAAGTGAAAGGATTGATCTTTAGCGACGATAAAATGAAAAAAAAAGACGTATGCGCAAGGGTTGAAGGAAACTTTCCTATAACACCAGGAATCTGATTATTAGCTGTTAAGCATCTGTACTATCTACAATGAATATCAAAGAAAACTGCAATCCACCAACCAATTTTTGACTTCGAGACAAGACATACGACATTTCATAAATTGGTTGCAGAAAACCAGTTCCGTGCTTGATCAGAGGTATGCTTTTTCCCCCCTTTTTTTAATCACTAGACTATTTTTTATTGAACTGATCATTACTATTATTATTATTATTATTATTATTGTATTTCTCTCATTACGGAAATATTTATATACATGTATATTTAAAATTTAAGGCATTAACTTCGTTGGTGTTTTTTCTTCTTTAATATGTGATAGATTTGTATTGACTTTTCTTCATACAAGTATTTGTAGTGTGATAATTTGGTATTTTTTATTGATTGTGTCATTAGTCCAGCGATGGTATCACCAAATAAAAACATATCATAATCTTAATGACAACACCGCAATGCAAGTCAGCAAGTTGTGTTGTACCAAATTGTACTGCGTTTT